GGGGGGGGGGGGGGGGGGGGGGGGGGGGGGGGGGGGGTTGACCACCCCGCACCACCGCCAGCTGTGGTGCGCATTAAGTTTAGTTTTAGAAATTAATATGTTTATAGATTTTTTTTAATAGGTTTAGAGATTAATATTTTTTGCTTTTTGTTTGTGAAACAAGGTCAGAGGAAGCTGGTTCTGTTTTGGTGGATTGGACCCTGTGTTACACCATACTCTGTGACCAGTGCAACACCGCCCCCTACGGTCATACAGTGGTCACATAATATGACGTCACTACGGTTACTCGACGTTTCATTTTTAACCTCGATAGGTGTCCTAGCAATCGATGTGTAGATTACTCGAGTACTCTGTTAATGCCCTACTCTGCTCCCCCTCCACTACCCGTTCGCTTCCCGAGGACGTCTGTGGACTTGTATCAGAGCTGAGCCGGCTGATAGACACTGCACCATCTCCTATCAGGATCATGGGGACTATCTGGCAGCATCCTCAGACAAACTCACCTCCTTCCTTAGCCTTCCTCAACCTTCTTCATCAGAGTCAGAGTCAGAGTCAGAGTTTCTTTATTGTCATTCGCACCTCATGTGGTACATGTGGTGGAGCGAAATTATGTACACAGGGTCCCAGTTACATCCAACAATAAAATGTATAAGAAAAACAGTAATAACATCTAAGATATGAACTAAGAAAAACATCAACTAAATATACACTAAGCACTCATAACATAAAACATTGAACATCAGCACAAACATGAACATGAGTCTGTGAACAGATGTGCACGCATGAACACATCAACATTGAAACAGATCAGCAGCAACATTGAAACAGATCAGCAGCAACATGAAACAGATCAGCAGCAACATGATATGGTTTTTCACAGTGATTATTCTAGTTAGAGATTCATGAGTCTAACAGCCTCAGGGTAGAAGCTGTTCCTCAGTCTAGTGGTTCTACACTTAATGCTCCTTAACCTCCTTCCTGAGGGGAGTGGGGCAAAAAGTGTGTGTGCTGGGTGGGTGGGTTCATACATATATATGTATTATGATGTCATTAGTATGTTGCTATTTCTGTGCTGAGGTTTGTTTGTTTTTTTTGGCAACTTTCACACTGTGTTCTGTCTACGACACAGTGTGAGATATGATTTTTTTTTTACACCTCATGTTTCTCTTTTCCTATCTAACGTAAATGGCAGGGTCTCCCACAAGGCCACGGCCTCAGACACTCCGTCTTCCCATGTCTGTTGTTTGTGTTTTACTCAGACAAGCTGTACTGAAATGTAATTTTGTTGTGTTTCGGTGCAATGACAATAAAGCTGATTTGGATTCTGATTGATTTAACTATCTTTAGGATAATCAAAACTCAACGACTGAATAGTGATTCATTTAATTAATTAATTGTTTATGATCGCCAACAACTTTTAAATATACAGTTATCTACTGCAAACCCCGCCTTGTTTGACCACTTTGATAGGGGCTCTGGACCCCCACCCCCTCTGCTTGTTGATGTCCCTGTTTACCTGCAGCGTGCGGCATTTCTGCCTGCCCGAAAACATCGCTCCAGGCGCCGTGGAAGACGTGCCGGCCATCTCATGAGGATTAAAGCCAGCATCAAGCTCTCTGCTGCTTCGTCATCTACTGACCATGAGATGTTAAACTGTCCATCCGGATGCTTCGCTGATCCGCTCAACTCCAGCCTGCTACAGGTGGCCGGGCCTGGTACGCGCAGTGGGCGTGTGCGCCTTTGCGCATGCAGCTGCAGAGGTGTTTGTCGTCTCCAGTGGAACTTAACCAACTTTGGATTGTCTGCTGCATAATCTCCTGCCGACCATCTGCTGGATATTCGTCTGTCCGGGTGCTTCGCTGATCCTGCTGGGTCCTGCCTGATCCCCGTAGTCAAGCCTGGCCCACGACGCGGGCGCGCACACAGCACATCTCTGGTCCTAGGAGGCGCGGTTCAAACTCCAAAAATCTAAAACTGCTGATCTGTGCTCCTTGCTGAGCTTTTCCTTCAGCTACAGGTCCTACTAAGATTGCTCTGCTGAATGCAAGGTCGCTGGCAAATAAAACTTTCATCTAAAACGACATTTTCTGCTCCAATGGATTGGACTTTCATGTTCATGTACATGTTTGCTGTCCTGACAAGCCTTTGGTGCAGGAGTTTCTAAATCTGATACAATCTTTCAACCTTGTGCAAAATGTTGTTGGTCCAACTCATCAACAGGGCCATACTTATGATTTAGTTCTGTCTCACGGTTTATCTGTGGTTAATCTGGAAATTGGGGATGCTATTGTTTCAGATCACAAACCCATTTCATTCGAAACCTCTGTTATTCATGAGTCTAAATCCCCCGCTCCAGCCAAGAGTTGTCGGATATTTAACTCTTCAACAGATGCTCTTTTTTCCTCTGCATTCATTACTGATACTGCCTCAGTCTATGAAACCTCTGCCTGTATTAGAATGCAGGAGCTGCTCAGTAGGCATGATGCGACCTGCTCTAAGAACTTAGACCTCATGGCACCGCTAAAAATCAGGTGACCAAAGCGTGCACCACACCCCTGGTTGAACGCGACCACTTGTGCAGCCAAATGTCTATGCAGGAGAGCTGAGCGTAAGTGGAAAAAGGACAAATTACAAGTTTCTTTTATTATGTTATAAACATGTTTGAAAGATTATCAGAGCATCGTTAAATCTGAAAAGAACAAATACTTATCCCAAATCATTGCTTCAAACAGTCATAGTCCCCGTGTTCTTTTTAATACCGTAAATTCCATTTTAAATGTGCCTCAGTCTGCCAGCATGGAGGCCTCTGTTGACATCTGCAACAACTTTACCAGATACTTTGCTGATAAGGTAGAGTTGATTAGGTCATCCATCCCCCAGTCCACAACTGACCCCTCTGTCTTTGTCCCTTGCTCAGCTGTCTTCAAACAGTTTGAACCTATTTCACTCCCATTTCTAAACAAAGTCGTTGGTCAGATGAAACCCTCCGGTTCCCCCGCTGACCCCATTCCTGCGTCGTTTTTCAAACAAGTTCTACCCATGATTGGACCCTCTGTTTTTACTATTATAAATTGTAGTATTGTGACAAGTGTGGTTCCCATTGTTTTCAAACATGCAGTAGTTCATCTGTTAATTAAGAAACCTGGACTTGACCCTTCGACTTGCTCAAATTTCATACCAATCTCAATACTTCCCTTCCTGTCCGAAATCCTCGAGAAAATAGTTTTCATTCAATTAAATAAGTTTTTGAATGAGAACAGAATTTTCGAGATTTTTCAGTCTGGTTTTAAGCAACTAGACAACACTGAAACAGCATTAATGAGGGTTTGTAATGATATTATGATATCAAATGATTCTGGTCAATTTGTGGTACTTGTACTTCTGGACCTTACTGCTGCTTTTGATACTGTTGACCACAGTATCCTTATATCATGGCTGGAACGGTGGGTTGGGATCACAGGTGCTGCATTAGCATGGTTCCGCTCATACCTGAGTGGCAGGAGTTTTTGTATCAAGGTTGGTAATAATGTATCCGCCTCATTACCTCTTTCTTGCGAGGTCCCACAGATTTCGATTCTTGGACCCCTTCTGTTCTCACTTTATTTGCTCACACTGGAGTCCATTCTGAGGAAACATGGGTCTTTCATTCCATTGCTATGCTGATGACTGTCAGATCTACCTGCCTGTGAAACCAGCAAGTGTTTGCTCCATGCACCCTCTGTTAAAATG